AGGAGCTACTGCAGGCTCGCCCGTGGACTGATGCCACACACACTTCAAATGTCAGCAGCCCAGGATCTGTGGAGAAGGACACTCAGCTACCCGACATCTGCAAAGATGGGATGCCTTATAAGAATATATGCGGCTTTGATACTATAGACGACGCGTTAGAATGGCTCAGAAACGAACTGGTATTGTATTTATAAGTTTTATATATTTAATTTTATTTAAACGTTTGACTAATTTTATAAATGGTCATTGTGTTTAGGATCTATCTATCTATCTATCTATCTATCTATCTATCTATCTATCTATCTATCTATCTATCTATCTATCAGCACGCAACACCATCAGTGGTTTTGGGATTTTTACCTTTCTACTGTCTTTGGGTCATTCAGTACAAAAATATATAAGATACACCACTGTTCAAATGTTTAGGGTCAAAAATAACAGTGAATATATTTATAATGGTACATAAAAAATACTATTTCTTATAAATCAGCGTTGTCATCTCCGGAATAAATTACATTTGAAAAAATGAGCATAAGAGACTTCATTCAAGAACATTAAATAATCTTATCCACCTCAAACTTTTGAACTTTAGTGTATGAATTAATTAAATTATATAAAATATATGTAAATAATATACTGTATATACTAGATCTACTTTATAAAAATATGTAATATAACAGTTAAACAGTTGATTTGACTTGGCTAAAGAACCAGACTGTTGTAAAGTGAGATGCATGTCAACTTCAGCATAGTACAACGCAGGTGGCATGACTATTCTCCTTAGAAAAGGACAACAAATATTTTGTATTCTTTTTTTTTTATATAGTTTTTTTTATAGTGTCCTTTGTACGTCCACTGAACCCATTTAAGTTTAGAAGCACTGGAAATTTAACACTGTGTTTGCGCATGGATACTGTAAGTGCTCATGTCTAAAGCTCCATGATAAAATGAAAACATATCACAGAGGACCTTTATATTTTGACAAATTTCAATTTGGGAATGAATGTGTGTTAACAATTTTTTTTTTAAATATTTTTTTATATAATTTTTTTTTTAGATTTTATATTTATGAAATGAATACTTCTGTTCAGCAAGAATGCATTGAATTGATCAAAAGTGAAAAAGATTTTTGCATTTTCCATTTACAAAAAAATGAAGGATCATGTGACATTGAAGACTGGAGTAAGGGCTGAAAATTCAGTTTTGTCATCACAGGAATAAATTACATATTGAAATCTAATAAAATAGAAGACAGGTCTTTTGAATTGTAGTAATATTTCTCAATATTACAGTTTTATACAGCTGTAATTTGGATCAAATACATACAGATTTAGTGAGCATTAGAGACTTCTTTAACTTCAAAAACATCACAAACAATCTTACATAAACTATAATTATACATAATTACATAATCTAAACATTTGAATGGTAGTGTATATAATATGTTTTAATTAATAAAATGTTTGATATACAAATGTTTAGTGCACTATAAGGGTATAAACCATGCTTTTGCTTTCAATCAACCTGTTTACTGAAATGGAGCACAACGACTGACTTTTTTTTCACACAGGGCTAAAAAAATACCTTAAATTTGCCTCGAACCATCTCTTTCTTACCTTTTTATAATCTGAAAAACCTTTTTTCGGCCCAAAGAACCTTTTGTGAAACAGTAAGGTTCTTCAGACGTTAAAGGTTCTTTATGGAACCATTTAGACAAAAAGGCTCTTCTATGGCATCGTGAAGCACCTTTATTTTTAAGAGTGTACAAATCATTGCAAAGCAACTTTACAGCTAATTAAGTTTCTACAATATTTAGTGGTAGTTTATCAGTGGTGACTGTCAGTTAATGTACATATGGCAGAAATGTACGGAAAAATCAATTTAAGATGCAATAAAACAGACGATGAACACTATTACCAGCAATTATTATATGATGCAATCAAACTTATAGCAAAATGTGGTAGTGCCATGCTGTGCCAAACACTGTGCCTTGAAGGCATGAAAGTGTCACTCTGCTTTGTAGAAAGGAAAAAGGTGTTTTGTTCATACAGTGTTTTCACTGAAACCTAAATTATTCATCAAATTATTTGTTGTGAATTCAAAATGTTAGATTTGCCTGTTATATAAATAGTCTATTTGCACCTCAAAAAATGGAAAAATGAAAAAACATCTACCCTATTTCCTGGAAATAAGTTGGTTGACATAAAGCTAAATGATCCTGCTATATAAATGGTTTTCAAAAGTTTTACGGCCAAGGACTCACATGTATGAAGATCCCCTTGTTAGGAGCCCCTTTTCTAAAACGTATAGCCAATACAGTTGAAAAATTATTGAAATATTATCTGAAAAATATTAGCTTATTTTAAATATATTTAAAATAAGCTAAATATATTTATAAATATAATTAACATATATTTTGTTTTTCAACCCATTATAAAAATTAATAAATTGAGTAATATTTTTCCAACTCATGCAGCTTTACAGAAAATAAGACTGTACGACTAGTGCACAAGCTAAAGCCAACAATGGTAAAGAAATTCTCCTTAGAAAAGGACAACAAATATTTTGTATTCTTTTTTTAACATGTTGCAAGGAAGGAAAGATTAACATATGTCACACAACTATATGCATATTTGTTGTTTAATTCTTCTGTTAAATCACATTAAATATATTTAATCTGTTACATTTTTCACAGCTCTCCTAGCACCCAAGACCCCAGTTTGAATTTTTTTGCAAGGATTCACAATCTCAAAGCATCAAATGAACATTTGCTCTTACAAGAGATGTAACTGTGAATATATAACAGTCTGTTACAGTTTTTCTCAGTCACTTTGGTGCATTTCTCAAGTCAGAAATGAAATTCTCAAAATTACTAGTACATCTTCCACATCATCTAGTCATTTGTACACATCAGAAAAGCAGTTTCTCATTCTTTTGAACAAGCTGTGATTGCTTTGGTACATTCATGCAATTGATTATGTACATTTATCTGCGGTTTCCTACATTATCAGTTGCTAATGTCATGTTGCTCAAAATGTATTATATAGTTTTCTGTGCAAGAGTCTTACCCCTCAAAACATCTAGTCTTTAGTTCATTGTACAAGTCATTAAATGCAAAATGGTTCATCTAGTTGTCATAAACTGTCAAGCACATTTTTTACACATTATTATTAGACTTTTTGTAAATTTGGCATGAATTGTGCAAGTGAATCTTGACTTTCACTAATGAAGAGAATGTAGATCAACCAATGATAAACCATTTCTCTGAAATAGCTCAAAGGTTAATCTCATGAATCTTCAGTTGGAAAGCATATACTGTATAGACAGAGGACACCACAAGAGTTACAAATTCTGACAATGAACTTTCTAATTTTTTTTATTTTCATCTTTGTGCCCATATTTCTTTTTCCTTTTCTATATCACAATGTTTTTTTTTTGGTCAGACCACTAGTAAAATGTAACTGGGAATTCTATCCAGTCTCTTTCAATCAATATCCCACATACAGTAATGTGTAAATTTGTACTTTTGAAATGGATATATGGCATACTGTTCAATACAGTAACTGTCATCCAAAATGTTGCCATAGTTTACATCAGGTAATACTAACACTGTTATATTGACAACATGACTAAGCATTTTGACTCTTGTTTGTGAACAATGACACAAGGACTTTTCATTCTGATGGCACTGATATGTTAATTGACATAAATACTTACTTTTGAGAGATAAACTAAAGATTTTGAGTAAGTTACAGGCTTTTGCAGGTAATCCATTGTGTGGTGCTGTTTGTCGAATTGTTTTGAGAAATGCACATAGTTTTTTGCAAATATTAAGGATGATTTGAGAAATGCACCAAAGCGACTGAGAAAAACTGTACGATGATCTGCCCTACTCAACATCCCCTCTCCTTCAAACCCCCCCTCATTTGAACCACAATACCACCAAAATACCAAGCCATTGTTTCAAGCGTTTACTCAGACATCTAAAAACAACAAGAAATCCAGCAATTTGCAAAAATCACCCTGATTTGGTCCATCTTGCGAGGGGATCTGATTGAGTAATAGAATTATAAATGAGTGACATTTTCACCATATAACGCCACCTCTGAAACCACAGTGAAACACCCATTTATGCTGTGAGCTCTGGACTCACCACATGAAAAGCCTGGTCAGAAGTTTCAGTTGCGTTGGACGAAATCAAAATAAATACAAATGACAGAGCAAATTTAAATTTAAAATTAAATGAGTGTTCCTGCAGCAGAAAACTTAAGAATGTACCTCATTTCCTTTGAATGTCTGGGCTGTGACTTCCTGCAAGAGCATGCATTATTTGCAGACTGATGCCACAACAAAAGTGTGCGGTCTGCTCAGAGAGAATGAGAAGCAGCGAGAGAAAGACCGAAATGGTTTAAGAGACAGAAAATGACAAGAGACATGAGCGCCATATCCAAGTATCTAGTTAAAAATGGTCAGATTTACTTTAATTTACCTAAAAAAAAATCCTATTGCATATTAGTTTTATTTTCTGGCATGTGTGGGTTTGCACATGTATATCCAGTAAACAGTGCTGCGAGAGAGGCCTACGGTTTAATGTAAACCAGAGGCCTAAATGTTCGGATACTAGTAGGCACAAATGCCTCATATAATAGCAATGTGTGTAACACTTTTAAGCATGAACATTCAAATGTAAAGTTTTGTGTCTCTTTTTAGTACAAGCACAAGCCAGAAACCCATGAGTGCCGTTAAAGTTTCCGCTCTTTGACATCATGGCGCCACAAAAGCAGGTGACAAGTGGAGTCCTGACCCAGAATCCTTCACTCCAATGACACCAGCTGCTCATAGCAGTGTGCACCTGCTGAAAAATGTTAAATATCAGCTCAAACACCTCAACGACAGGAAGCTCTATCATCAGTTTGCTCTGCACCACAGTGGTGTGTGTGTGTGTGTGTGTGTGTGAGTGATGGCTTTGCAAGTGATGTGCCTTTGTTAAGGTGGGAAGTCAAACTGTGACGTGACTGGCACAGCCTTGACACTTTAGCAGCACATGTCTTTTGATACACGGCGAAGCTTAACAGATCTTGTCAGTTTGTCTGTAATCTTGGTTTAGTTGCTCTGTGGAAAAATGTGTTCTTCATAAAATATAAAGCTAAAGACATGACAATGCCTACTGAACTGGCCCATCACTGATATCAGCATCTTCTGTCAACAGAAAATGTAAGTTTTATCCACTGGGATCTACTTTTTCTTTACTTTAAACAAGATGAGTTTTAATGAGTACAGGTTATCAAACCGGTAAAATTATTCTCAGACAGTTCATTTTAAATCAGTAAGTGATTTATTGGATGAAACTTTACAAGCGAAAACTAAAGTCTGAGAAAGTCTGAGATGGAGCGGAGGAAATCTTACAAATTATTTTTCTAAGCCTTAAGATATAAAAAAAGAAAAGAAATCAAAAAGAGTTTCAAACTGAGCTGATAATATTTGCTAAATAGAAAAACATTTCAAGCATTCATTTACTTAAAAAAAGAATCAGCAGATTATTTATGCATATTTATAATACAGGCTAATTCTGATTCTGAAATAGAAAAGCAGAAGTGAGAGTGTGTTCAGTTTGATATCATATCTATAAATGTATGCACTGTTTAAATCGAAATTTCTAGAACATTATTATGCTGTCTGCTCCTTAGTGTTCAAAATTCATTGCATTTTTGCATAACTTGCTAAGTAATTCACAAAGGCAATATAATAGCGATAATATCATGTATATCATCACTGCATGTGTTGTATCATGTTTCACCTCAAGATCAGTCAATAACAATTTCATGATTTTAAATTTAAATTGCGATTCAATCACTAGGTGTGTTTTTTGTTGTTGTTTTGCCACTGTATTCGAATATTAAATCAGTAAAAAAATTCTTCTCCAGTCACAGAAAATAAAAATCCTCATAAATGAACACTGGTGAAATATTTTTTTAAAAAGGGGAATTTTATAAATATTAGGTCGGAAAACCCCTGTGTTCTTCCTATATACTGCCTTCTTGCTAGCTTGGCTGCCACTCATTCTTTAATGTTTATTCCTAATCCAAATAAAACTTTCATGACTTATGAGTTAAGATCATTTCTTTATTTATTTTATTTGGGTAGGTGTCAGTCATAAATAGTAATTTTTCTAAACATTCTGAACAGGTGATATAAAATAACGTAAAAACACAACAGTTCAGTATATAATAGGCCTACAGACAGTAAAATCTAAATCCGTATTTTTTGGCTTAGCTTTGACCGTTTGGTGTGAATTAGTGAAGTTTATCCCTCATGTCTCAACCTCTTGACTTCTGTTTGCTCTCAAGCATGTTGATTTAGTGTTATATAAAAAACTTGTGATTGTGTCGGTGGGATTTGCAGAGGCATTTGATCTGTTTGGCTTCATTTCAAACCTTTACAAAGACATCCTCTGTAACAAAAGAAACTGGAGGCCTGAATGAGCACAAAACCATCTGTCATCATTTACTCACCTTCATTTCTTTCCAATCCTATATGACTTACTTTCTCCTGCATAACACAAAAGATATTTTGAAAATATGTCTTAGTGTTTTTTATCTATATAGTGAAAGTTAAAACAACATTGGTCCCCACTGACAAGGTCTAGGAACACCTGTGTCACAAAAACATTAACTATGCTTCGTACTTCATAAAGCAACCATTTGACCACGGCGTGCATCTCTCAAGACTCTTGTGCACTGATACTGGTAGGGTCAGGTACAGGCCGGAGGTCATTGGAAAGTTTTGTCTCTGTTTAGATATCCTGTTTTGATTTGGGCTGTTCTCCCACACTGTCCCAGGAGCTCACAGTGTTCTGTTTGACCCAGAGGGTTGAGCTTTTCTTGACCCAACAACACAGTTTCTCACGGGTCCAAACCCCAAAGAGACATACACATTGAGTTAGCACATTATTTATTTGCTTAATGGGAATGAAAATGCTTGTGGGCTTGTGTGTTTACATATTTACAAGTTTACAGCTAGGACAGTTCATCCTTACATACAAACACTTATGTATAGGAATTTTTTCAAGAACCTTCCAGATACATAACGCAAAAACACAACATGTTCAAGAGCAATGAAAAACACGCACACATGCATACGGATCACTGTAATCCAAATCCCTTCGTTTATTCAAAAAACTGTTGAAACTCAGTATTTGAGTTGGAAAAAGTGTGTCTACAATTCATAAAGAGGATTAACCTCCTTTACAGATCTGGTCCAGAACGGATGCTTTTTTTTTTTGCTTGCTTGTTTTTTTGTTTGTAGACAGAACTGTTTATCCTACCCTACGGACATAACGTTAGGCCTAAATATGAACTAAATGTTTGTGGCTCTTTTTCTCTGATAAATCAGGAAATAATTAATTAACTCCAGTGTGAGCAGTCTTACTCAAAATATTCAGTGTAACTGCAGTAATAAAACTCAAAGAGAATACATGCCAAATAGTGCAAAATAGATATTATACATTATATTAATGTCAAAACATATTTATTGCATATGTAAATTAATTAATTGATTTGCTTAGCCATTGCTTCACATTTTTTTTGTTCGCCAGGAGCTAAATCGCTAGCACTTATGATAGCACATGTACATCACGGAGACGTCTACTCAAAGTCTGCATTTACATCTGCAAGACATATTTTAGCGTGTTTGCTCATCTGCAATACGTCCGTTTCCTATCAGATGTCAAATAGACGTTTAGAAGATGTCTTTAAGATGTTTCTGATTTAGATTGTGTGTAAAACTGATGTCTGAAAGATGTCAGATGTTTGTTCTCAGCAGATGCTTTCCAGATGAAGCGATCTTTAACAGACATCTTGCAGACATACATGTGCTATCTAGGATATTGATCAACTATTAAATATATATATATTATTTTTTTATTTATTTTTATTTATATATATATATATACATACATATATGATCACCGTGATTTTGCCAAGTAAGACATGGATCAACATCTTTTGATGATCCTGGATCAACATTATTATCCAAAAATATAGCCTTAACCAATCCCTACCCCTAAACCTAACCCTACCCATAATTTATTCCTAAAATCAGTGGGCAATGATAGCTGATTAACAAGGCTGTAGAAGCACCTAACCCTGATTGTAAGCCTAAAACAGATATTTCCAGAAAAGTTATATCTCAATTCTGATTGGCTGATTGGAGTGTTGTTCCAGGATCAACAAGGATGTTGATTCAGGAACATGTTGTACCTGGTGAAATCACGCTCACTATATATATATATATATATATGTGTGTGTGTGTGTGTGTGTGTGTGTGTGTGCTTTCAGTTGTCACTGTAGTTCTAATGCTCACAGTTGTCACTGTTTTCTCTCATACTTAGTAAATATGGGGAACTGCGGCTCTTTTGATCCTGATGAAGAATTCTCCTACCATCCAGATGAATGGTGCGATCAATGTAACTGCCCAAAGCCTCCAGTCAGTCAGGTATGTGTGTATGTATTCAGAACAGAAAATTGTCACAATCAACTACACTTAATGCTTCTTTTTCCCATTTACATGCAAGTATATAACAACATAAAATCAGTAACCACAAAGTTAGATAAGTTAGGGTGAGCTAAACAGACTCTGGTGAAAATAAATATATTATCAGGCAAGTATCCTTAGCAACTGTGTCGTAGGCTGCTCGATGATTTAGTATCTGAATCGAAGTAAAGGGAAAGGAGTATCGGAAGGTATGGCGACAAAGCTACTGTAATAATTGCTTTACTATATTTGCCCCCAAAATATTATAGATTTCACAGATATATATTAAAACTCTGTTGTGTTTAGTGGTTTGTTTCCTAAATGTGTTTAAGATTCTTAAACGGTTGAAGAACTCACAAAAAAATCCTGTAGACACCTCCATTGAATTCATTGAATAATTCACGCAAAGAGCATTCCTACATTAAAAAAGTGAGAGCGACAGTTTTTGTTATTTGATATCATATGATTTCAGAATTTTGAGACAGTTGAAAAAAGGCAGTGAGACAGTGACAGAGAAGTTACTAAAGAGGCTTTGTGAGGAGAAGAGAGAGAAAGGAAGTGGTAGAGCCATTCTCTACTCTAAAGAGATGCATTACAAATCTATGTGGTTTATAACACAAGACAAAACACAACGAAGTCTCACAAAGTGCTACACAAAGCATTTTTTGAAAAACTTGCTGAAATGGAATATGTGTGATTCAGGTGGAAATCCTTAATGCTAAGCAAGACTGACAATCTCAGGAGATCTTTTAAAGATGGTTGGCCACTGACACCACACTCTTAAAACTGATGTGTTGAAAATAACACATCCTGTTTTATTTTTTACTTAATCTATGTGTCTAGATATGGCACATTTTGTGTTACTTTTTAACTCAACCAGTGTATTATCTCTCTTAACACATAAAATGTGTTTAGATTTTTAACACGCTAGTGTGTTATAATGACAGGATTTGTGTCAGATGTGCTATTTCTTGAAAAAAAATGCAATACATAAATGTTTTTGTGGAAAGTGATTTTTTTAAATGTAATAATCTAATATTCTAATAATTAGAATAAATATTCTAATTTTGGCACAAATACTTGGTGGCTAAAGTGCCTCAAAATAATAATAATAATAATAATAATAATAATAATTTTATCTGTTCTTACCGTGGTCTGTCTGCATTGATGTGACTCATTCTTCAGACAGGTCAAGCCTCTCAGGGTTACATAATTTGAGGGAAATGAGCCTTTGTGTTGGTAATTAACTGTGGACTAAAAGCTCTAGCTAAATTTGAGACACATTTCCTTGTGATTTATTTTTATTTGAGTAGATTAGAAATAAAAGAGAACAGCACATGTTGTTTATAGCATAATGAGAATGATGGAATGTTAGTTGTTTCAAAACAGGCTGTGAAAGCAGAAAATAAGAACAGCTCCACCCTGTTTAGGGACGTAGCATTGTGTGGTTTATAGCATTCATACATTATTGACATGGATTATAGATTTTGATGTCATAAAAAGATTATTAGGGAAATTGCTGATCATAGTAAAATAATTAAAACCGCTTTTCTTCAGACATTTTTAATAGCTTACTTAATATTTGTGTTTTTAGAAGTTTAATAATAATAATTGCCATGACCTTTCTGATTATAAACATAAGCAGAATTACAGTCATGGTTTTGTAGCTCTAACCATACTTTTAATTCATGATTTTTTTGAATTCATGCTGGATTTTGACATTGTTTTCTATCATCTCTCGCACAGAACTATGATCCTCTGATTCCGTATCCATCCCAGTACACACCTCCACCATCATCTCCTCTTCCAGGTGAGATGACACATTCAATATGTCCTACAGATATGCTCTTAGTGGGTGTTTCAGATAGCTCACTGTTGTCATCTGTGTATTCCAGAGAACCTGATGGTAGCCTTATACAAATATGAGCCGTGCCACAGCGATGACCTTGGGTTTGAGAAAGGGGAGAAGCTGAAAATCCTAAATATGTAAGCAAGACCTACATTAAAACAGACAATCTCAGTAGATCCTCAAAACATGGTTGACCACTGACCCCCACCAACTCAAGTTGGGTTTTGAGAAGCTGAACTGAATTGAATGTCACTTAGGTTTAGATCAGAGTCAGGGTTTGTCTGTTTCATTTTTTTGTGTGCAGTTTTAAGAGGAGACACCGTTGTGGTTTAAACTCTAATGTATGTGTATGTGTGTGTGCTTTAGCGATGATCCTGAATGGTTCATGGCAGAGTCTCTGTTTACCGGGCAGAGGGGATACATACCACATAATTTTGTAGCAAAACTGAACAGCATGGAGACAGAACCGTAAGTAGCACAATTAACAATTGCATACAGAGTGCACACACTCACGTACACCCAAACAAATCCACACAAGCACAATTAAATGTGTTTATGCAGATCAGCTGCTGTGGGTTTCTGAACAGAGAAGATCAAATCTGGGAAATACCGCCCCAAATCTGTGGCTGAAAGGTTGATTCATTTAGGGTACCCCTTGCTGCTTATGACAGATGATTATGGGTGTCAGTAATGGAAAGAGTAGAAGAAAAAAAAATACTCCCACAAATCACACAGGTTTTTGAGCATCGCTACTCCATTGTCTGCTGATGCCACATTTCTGTGTTCAACTTTCGGTGTCTTTCTTCTGATTGTGGGAGGTGTGAAACGCCCCAACCCTCTATCTTTTAAACAATAGAAATGCCAAAATATGATCCAAATGAGATAATGAATGAGTCAAACCCCTAAGAAACTGATGATAATGTTGTGTTGTAGGTGGTTCTTTAAAAATCTCTCCAGGAACGACGCCATGAGACAATTACTGGCCCCCGGTAACACGCAGGGCTCCTTCCTCATCAGAGAGAGTGAGACCACACCAGGTATGAAACAATGCATTTCTCCCCACACAACACCAAAAATAAAACACAGACCCATAAGGGCACATCAGACAGTGCTATCACATTACAATACTGGCTCAGAATTTTTTTTTCTTGTCTAGTTTCACTATAAAATGTGAAAAAATAAGTAAAAAACAAGTAAATAAATAAATAAGTGACAGGAAATGGTGAATTAAATAACATTTCCCTCGTGTCATTAACTGTAAAATGACTCTAAACGCCAGTGTAGAAATTCTCATTGTTATGAAGGTGGATATGTGACTGTATGTGCAGTTGGCAGCCTCTGACTTTGGATTTTCCTGTTTTTCTGGTGCCTCAGGTAGTTTCTCCCTATCCGTGAGAGACCTGGACCACACACAGGGTGACACCATCAAGCACTACAGAATCCGCAACCTGGACGCAGGCGGATTCTACATCACCACCAAGATCTCCTTCGGTTCCCTCTCAGAGCTGGTCAAACATTATTCACGTACGTTCGAGTGTTCATATGTGCCTTACACAAATCGATCAGGTCATTCATAAAAGACATAAGAACAGTTTAGTCACTCTGTTTATAAGAGCTCAAATGTAGTCTGGTTGAAAAGTGACAGCATTTGTTTATTTTTCTCTGTGCAGGAGAGGCTGATGGACTGTGCACTCGCCTGGTGAAGCCGTGTCAAACCCGAGTCCCTCAGAAGCCCTGGTGGCAGGATGAGTGGGAAGTGCCCCGTGAATCTCTCAAACTGGAGCGCAGACTGGGGCAGGGACAGTTCGGTGAAGTATGGATGGGTAAGAACTGTTTTACTTCCACATATTCTGTTTTACTTCCACATATAAGTGTATTACAGAGTTGAGTCAATTTTTTAAAGTTGAGATTCATGGTGAACAACTTCAAGGAGCATATTTGCACATATTTATTATGCCTTTATTTCAAGTCCATGTCACACTACTTGGAAAACCAACATAAGAATAAACAAGCAAAACAAATAAATTTCAGCATCCAGGTGTTGTGCCTGCATGGCCAGGTCTGCCTGTGCTTGTCTGGAAATGTTTGCAAATGCGAGCAAACATTGTGCATTGGACCATCATGAATGGGTCTAGATAAACATGCATCTACAGGCTTATGTGCTGCTCTTACAAAAATACACTAATGAGTGTGTCTCCGCGACCACCTGGCATGTCAGAACTGTAAATACAGTAAGCTTGTTGGAACGTTTGACTAATGTTTACCATTGATGAAGGTCATAGTGTTGTAAATTAGCAGAATCAGCATTTTGGTTGTCTCATCCTGTGATCTAAGACACTCTCACACACCTGCGAGCTCAGACTCACTGACACACAGCATAATTAACAACAAATAACTCACTCTTACATTACAATGGTGTTCAACAGCCATTCACAACTCACTTTAAATCACTTTGACGCTGAATTTTGGGTGTTGGTAGCTATTGAATTGATCTATCTAGAGCAGTGGTTTCAGAAGTTTTAAGAACCACTGATGTAGAATATTAAGTATATGAATTATGTTACGTATTTTTGTTTAGATACCAACAGGATGCCACAGTTTTATAACACCAGCATATATGGCCTAAACTCATGCTTTATATTTGTATGTTGAGAAGATTTTTCTTCTTCAAATGTGCCCAGTTTTCAAACATCAACAAACTACAGCAGAGAAATCATGCTGGTCTTGTCTTGACCCTAAAATGGAAGGTTAGTAGTTTTAACCTTCACTGCCTGTCAACTCCATGACAGCAAGGGCCCGCATCATAGCTGCCATTTTGTTTGTTTTTTTGCAATGAATGACTTTCCTCATTCAAATGAAATAACCGTTTCACGTAATGAACTGTTCCATTCATTAAACCTCAGTCATTTTCATCTGTGATAACATCACCCAAATCAACCCCACAGAAATGAAGTCAACCGGTTATCAAGGAGTCAAACAATGTGGAGCCAAAGAAATTTGGTGAAGGATAACATTGTGAATTTCTCACAGATCAAACTGTTTAAAAACACCCTTATACAAAAACATTCCCATGGTAATAAGGAAATAGCATTATTATTTTTCAATGCTTTTATGTCATAACAGAAAGATTAGATTCAGACCTTAATGAAATAGTTTGGTCTCAGGTAAATCATTTTTGGTGAATGAGATGTTGTATGTCTATTTCAAAATCAGTTTACTGAGCCTTAAAGGGATAGCTCACCCATAAAAATTAAATCCTGTCGTCATTTACTCACCCTCATGTCATTCCAAAAGTATGATTTTGTTTTCTTCTGTGGAAGACAAAAGAAGATATTTTGAGTAGTGTTTTGTTAGCAGCATTCTTCTTTCGTGTTGTTCCAAGTCATACAGGTTTATAACGACAATGGATTGATGACAGAATTTTCATTATGGGTGAACGACCTCTTTAAGAGGGATGGCCGGGGGCATTCGTATTGCGCTGCTAGAGGTGAAATTCTTGGACCGGCGCAAGACGGACGAAAGCGAAAAGCATTTGCCAAGAATGTTTTCCTTAAAATGAGACATAAACCATTTACCCTCTCTCTCTGTTTGTAGGGGTGTATAACAACAACCGTCAGGTGGCTATCAAGAATCTCAAGACAGGTACCATGTCCATCAGTGCTTTCCTGGCTGAGGCGAACCTGATGAAGACCCTGCAGCACCCTCGACTGGTGCGACTTTTCGCTGTGGTTACACAGGAGCCCATTTACATCATCACTGAGTTCATGGAGAACGGTGAGACACACAAATGTACTTAAACACTCATGTGAACAAGGGAGGATAGACTTCAATGGAAATGACAAATCTTTCATGTCTAGTAATGATTCATCGCTGCGTCCCACCTGAACTTCCTTCACAAATCACAGACACATTCACTGAGTAAACTTCCATTTAAACTTTCATCAGGGTTTCAAGGTCTAACAGGTCTGAGTAGTATCAGGACCGTGAGTACTGTCTGAGTTTTGTTTGTGTGTGTTAAGCCCACAGCAGTTCCTCACTGGTGTCCGCTCTATGAAAACAAAGCTTTCTCATGGCTTTGAAGATATTGAAGGCATCTCAATATGCATCCCTCACTCACCTGAATGATTCTCAGCAGAGCAACATCAAACACCCTCTTTGACTGTGCAGGAGTATTTTTGATGGGCAACTTTTTTCAGTCTCTTTCATTGACCGCAGCGTTTTTATATTTACAGACATGTGGCATGCATCTTTTACTTATATAGACGAATGCATATATGCCTCTTTAAGTTTAAATATGATTATACACACATCTTTGTTAGCATACAACACTTGCATTCCACTATTTATTCATAATATCGAGATTTATCAACAATATAGCCTACACTACTGTTCAAAAGTATGGGGGTTGGTAAGATTTTTTAATGTTTTTCAAAAGAAGTCTCTTATGCTTATGATCACTAAGAATGCATGTATTTGAAAAAAAGAGAATACAGTACCGCTAATATTGTGTCACAAAACAGGAATATTATTACAATAAAATCACTTTATTCTATTTGAATATATTTTAAAATGTAATTTATTCCTCTGATGTAATTTATTGCAAAACTGAATTTTCAGTAGTCATTACTCCAGTCTTCAGTGTTACATGATTCTTCAGAAATCATTCTAATATGCTGATTTGGTGCTCAAGAAACATTTCTTTTCATTATCACAGTTGAAAATAGTTCTAAAATAACGGAACTATTTTTTAGAAAGTTTAAAATAACAGCATTTATTTGAAATATATATAGTTCTTGAAAAACATATACTGTAAGTCAGTTTAATTTGATCCTGGCTAAAAAAAACTTTTAAATGGTAGTGTAAATGTTCAAGATTATGGAGGGACCAAATGTAAAACTTATATTGCTCAACCACTAATCTGAATATTTCCCCATCAGTATCTATGGTAGTCACAGCCCTGATGTTTATTCCTTCATAATGTCTGGTGTTTAATTAAATAAGCTGCCTGTCATTGTTCTATAAGAGGCTTTGACGTCTCTCTTGTGAATGGCATGCAGTGCATGTGTTTCATATCCTGCATTCTCACCTTGAGTGTTCTAGAACATAAAATTACCCACTTCAGTTTTGTAGAACACACAAAGTCCTTGTGTTTTGTCTCACATCATTCTGTTGTAGTTTAGTTTAGTTTCAGGTCTGATGCACAATTCAGAAGTCCCATTTTTTCATAACATGTTCAAACAGTTTTCAATCTCTGTTACCACTCCTTCTCTCCTAAGGATTAGTTCACTCAAAAATGAAAACTGTCATCATTTACACACCCTCATGCCATTGCAAACCAATATGACTTTCTTTCTTCTGTGGAACACAAAAGATGTAAACAGAATTTTGACTACGACTTGTCAAGCATAAAAGCATAAAACGACTTCACATGAAATGGAAAATGTTGCACAAGTCCTAAGGACTAAGATTTGCTTTTTGATGTTTTTTAGAGCTTGACAGCTATTGGTCTACATTGACTTTCATTGCATTGAAAAGTGCAGTGTGAATCTTCCTCAAATGCTCCTTCAAAGAGAGAAATGTGTTCCACTGAAGAAAGAAAACCATACAAGTTTGAAGTGACATGATGGCACAGTTTTAATTCTAGGTGTATGATTCCTCTAAAGGCTTAAGATGCTATAATATTTTTTGGCTTCTGCTTTTTGGGCATTTTATTTTTGCGATTTTATCCTGAGAAACACCCGCACAGCAGTTTGTTTCAGAGAGGCTAAAGATCTTTATAGCTGCAGCTCTGTTGCATAATGTTTCTCTAACCACTAATACATAATAAACCCCTTCTCACTGCATCCTGATTAGAACAATGTGCACCAAAACCGGACTTCACATTGAAAGCATGTTAACAGTTAAAGCGCAAATTTCACACTGAAAAGATACTGAGAGGGCAAGATGAAACACAGTGTAATGTATAGAAAGAAGGTCTTTGTTCCATAGGCTAGTATCGGGAATGTACGGTGGCCGTGAAGTGCAAAACAAATCACAATTCTGAAAACAAAATAACAAATTACAAATGCAAATGCAAGTCTAAAAAACAAAATAACAATTCAGAAAACACAACAACAAGTCAGAAAACACAATGACAAATTCGAAAACAAAATAAGTCAGAAAACACAACGACAAATTCGAAAAATAGTTAACAAGTCACAAAACACAACGACAAATCAGACAAACCGGAAGAGGTAGGTATAGTTTGAGACAGTGCCATTGGTTTGGGATTACTCACCGCTGACTGGACGAGACATCTGTCAATCAACGTATACAGGAAGAGCCAGCCGAAGAACAGCAGCGTCGTGGTAGAAAGTTCAGAGATGGTATTAAAGTAGCTCAGTTTAAATTTATTGTATGAATTGTCCTTACTATGGAATAAAAAATACGGGGTGTATGTTTACATTTAGTTAAAAGTAGCTGGATGGATAAGCTATGTGGATAAGATTGTGATTTGTTTTGCACTTCACGGCCACCGTAGGAATGCTTTCTAATTTAGACCCAACCACCCAGAAACTCACTACAACAAATCAGACACATAAATGGTAACCATGGTCACAGGTGCTCACAAAAAAGACCTCCACACCCTATCTTTTCTCTTTTTAACTCAACAATGGCACCTTAGGTCGTCATCGCAGGTGTATTCTGATGGACGTTATTCCATGTGTAACCCAGTATGGTTTGTTTGTGTGGTTTGTCAGTCTCATTGCGCCTAAGAGGATTGTTGGGCCTCCAGAATGTCATATTAATGCAGACGGTAACAAAAGACTCTAAGAGGAGCAGCCACATTAACAACATCGTCAGCACACTGGTGGCGCAGCTCGTGCATGGTCCCGCTTTGTGTTCCCTCTTAAAGGAAGATGAGGAACATTACGCTCAGCTTGTAAAAATCTTCCAATTCTTTGTTTAGGATCCATGTGATGTGTTTTAAAGCACAATTGTTGTCTGTGTTGTTATTTTAAAGAAGAGGTTGACTTTTTCCACCCCTCTGTCGTTTTAACAATGGAGACACTGAAAGAATGATTCAAAACATGGGAACTTCATCTAAACCTAACCACGACCTTGAATTTTACACCCTAATACGGCCTGAGATGAAAGGAGTGTGTATGCTGATAGCGCGCTAGTTACTTGAGTTCCTAATGGGGCATTTTCCGCTGCACCTTTGTGGGAATTTCCTTCAGGGTCAGTCGGTTCTTCTTTTTCCAACACAGCCCGTCGTCTCAAAAGCAACAACTTTGGCGTTTAACACCAAACGTCTCAGTGACTAATCCAAACTGGCTGCGCTAATTTCCTGCAGTTGTTATGTTCTAGTTCTTGGATCTAATCTGAATGCTGTTATTCGTGTTTCTCATAAACTCTGAGAAGAGCATACAGAATATTTTAAGCACCAAAACAACAGCATTCATCTATCTGCTGTTTCCTTTTGCCTTTGAACTAAACTGAGTGATGGAGAGAGCGTGCTTCCGGTAACATTCAGTTGTGGTTGAAGAATGTTTAAAAAAGGCTGCTGAAGACAAGACAGAAGACTTATGAACTATAAATAAAGTGTTAAAAAAAATCTAAGCATTTTTTTTTTTTTACATTTAATCTTTCCATTCAGTCCATTGCAGTGCATGCCGGGAGCTGAAAATGCCCTGGCCAGTCTCACTAGATTAGTTTCTAGCTCAGTTAGTATATTTAACAGTTTACAGTTTACAGTTTTGCTCTATATAAAATATATGTATGTTAAAATGTCATGTTGACTCTAATTTTAGGCAGCCTGGTGGATTTTTTGAAGACTCCAGAAGGAAGTGCTTTAACCATCAATACGCTGATCGATATGGCTGCCCAGGTAGGCTGCACCTGACCGTATTATTTATTTATTTGGTCTGTATTGCACTGAAGACATTCCTCACAGGAAACAAACTGACCCAAATTTGTATGCGCAACATGCTCAGGTCTACATTACAGACCCTTGCCTTGCATATTCTGTTTATCACTCATTCCTCTATTTGACCACTGTCTCTAAGCTTGTGACGGCAGCATTACTCAGCAGCTGATCTGCTTCCTAATCTCATGGTTAACAATGAGCATGACTGTGTGTGCTGGAGTCTAGACACCTTAACACAACAACAACAAAGGTACATGCTACCCAAGTCAAACTACAAACTGACTAGACGAGCATGCAATATAAATGTCTTCATACATATACTATACAATATAAATAATAAGAAAATATTTTTGAGCACCAAATCAGGATATTAGAAAGATTTCTGAAGGATCATGTGACACTGAAGACATGAATAAATTACATTTTTAACAATATGTTAAAATAGAAAAGTCATTTTAAATTGTAATATTATTTCATAATACAGCATTTTGGATCAGAATCAGACACAAAGGCTCCATGCTCTGTTTCTTACTGAGATCATATTTACATTCACTGACCAAACATACAGTTTGTTTGCTAACAAATATAAAGGCCATACAAAGGTCTGATTTGTCACAGCAATTCTTGGCATAATTAATGACACTCCATGCTTCGTTGAGAACATCTAATTATTGTGCGGACAGCTGAAACGCTAGTGTAAAATGATCTGATGGTATTTCCATGACCTCAGTTCTGAGGCAAAACTGTCAGGCATGTTCACATCAAACCGATACATTTTTGAACTATGACTGTCTGCATAGCACTTCCTTGAACAAACATGTACACGGTGTCATAGTGCAACATCCTCTATAAAAAGCTAAATAAATCACACTGCCATCATGCATCACCCATAATAACACATCTGTACACACACATACAGAGAAACTATCTGGCCACAATCGCAGATCGCAGTTTAATTTCGTGTGAAAGAGTTTAAGAAAATGACAGAAAGACTAAAGAGCTGAACATTTGTACTTTATTCTCACACTGACTGTGGTGCTGATTCAGAAACAGCAGACTTCTGAGAAGTTCAGCTATCTACCTTAGTGTTCTGAGATCACTTGAAACTGGAACTAGCTTAAACATTGGGAATATAAGAAAAATGACACATTAGACATCAGGAAGTATAGTAGCAAGCCAACCTTCTGTGTATGAAACCTGTGGTTTATGCTGGGTGGAGTGGAGCAGCGGGGGTTAAATGTCAAATCAAGGGAAGTCACAGCAAGAACCACCCTGTCTCAGGAACTGACCTCTGTGTGTGTACATGGTTTATGTTCGGAATGAAATGCTAGCCTACTGCATAGTATTTTGTAAAATTAGTATGTGAAACACCTATGCAACAATTGTTCAAAAATAGTATGCAACATTGTTGTCACATGACTTCATCACGTTGCACATTGCATTATTTTCTTTCAAAGGAAAATACATTTTTAAAGAATACTTTATTCAGCAAGGATGCATTAAATTCAAAAATGAAAGTGAAGATATTTATAATGGTACTAAAAATTTCTATTTCAAATAAATGCTCTTCTTTTAAACTTTCTATTCATCAAAGAATCCTCAAAAAAAGTATCATGGCTGCTAAAAATTCAGTTTTGCCATCACTGAAGTAAAATAAATTTAAAAATAATATTAAAACAGAAATGCAATATCTGAAACAGATATTTTAAATTGTAATATTTTAAAATATTACTGGTTTTATTGTACTTTTGCTCAAACAAATGCAGCTTTGGTGACCATCAATTAATTTAAAAAAAAACCCTGATTGGCAGTGTAATTAAATTTAAATGTATTTTACAGTCATTTGACAGTTTGATTAAAATAATTAATCATGTAAGAGATTTTTAAAAAATGCCAGCAAGTATTTATGCAAATATTACTTGCAGTTAATTTTTTACACTGGAAATAGTTGGTTAAGTAAAGCACACTGCATCGTGAAATACAGTATCTAGCACAATATTCTCTGCTATAGTCATCTCAGTATTTCATACATACTTAGCACAGTATACATGTAGAATATACTGCAGAAATGACAGCATGGCAGTATGCTATTTTGAACACAGCCGTCATCTCACACACAGCCTTATTATTAACACTGCACTGCCCCCTGCAGGTCGCTGATGGAATGGCTTACATAGAGCAGAAGAACTATATCCATAGAGACCTGAGAGCTGCCAACATTTTGGTGTCTGATGAGCTCATCTGCAAGATTGCTGATTTTGGCCTTGCCCGTCTCATTGAAAATAATGAATACACTGCCAGAGAAGGTAAGGCAGCATCTATTGCATCATGCTCTGTTCTGTCCTGTCAATTCATATTAGGATTAGATCACCAGATAACCTGTACAGTATATGCAAGAAAGTTTGGCTGCAACACCAAATATCTAAAAATATGCCTTAAATCGCACAGGTGCAAAGTTTCCTATTAAATGGACGGCACCTGAGGCCATAAACTACGGCACCTTTTCGATCAAATCAGATGTTTGGTCATTTGGAGTACTGCTGACAGAGATTGTTACATATGGAAGAATCCCATTTCCAGGTAACAAGCTCCATATGCTTCCTGTATGGGCTCATTTTGATTTTGTGCAGTAGCATCAATGGGAAATTTATTGTGGAATAATTTTGCTACGTCTCATTTTTCGGTTACTCTTGATCTTTCAGGAATGACAAACCCAGAGGTGATTGCAAACCTTGAGAGAGGGTACCGCATGCCTTGCCCTGATAACTGCCCTGAGGACCTATATAATATCATGAAACACTGCTGGACAGAGAACCCAGACAATCGACCCACATTTGAGTATCTGCGCAGTGTTCTAGAGGACTTTTTCACCGCCACAGAGAGACAGTACCAGGAGCAGCCCTGCTGAAAAAAATTTTCTTGGTAAACTGACAGTCCACTGGGGTCACATTAAAGACTTGTATTAAAAAGAATATTTCAAAATAGAGTTAAAGGCACCTTTAGTTAAAAGAAAAACTAAGATTTTATGTCTTCTAATTAAAATGTTTTCAGTAATCATGATTAACAGTTCAAACATGGATTTTGCCATAGCTTTGTCCACAGAATTTATCATGTGTAAACCAGGTGCATGTATAGTTTCTTTAGCAGATGGATTTTTCCCCTTTGGCTACATTTGTGCTCTCAATGAATGAGTGAACACCCTGCTTTGTGTTTTCCCTTTGAGCTTTTAGTATTTCTGCATTGAGCTCCTAGATTTGTCTGTTTATTCAATTCTGTGTTTTTCTGTCAATATGAGGTGCTGTGTGTACATTAATGAGGAAAACAATTTACTTAAATGATTTTAGCAAATGGCTGCAATATAACAAAGAGTGAAAAATTTAAGGGGGTCTGAATACTTTCCGTACCCACTGTAACTGCATCATGAAAAATTGAGCCAGTAAAACGGTCCAAGAGATAAATGGGCCTCATTCCATCTCGTTTCATCTGTTTTCACTTTCAGATTCACTGTGACCAAATCTGTTAAATATCTACATCTTCCTGTAAAAACTAACTTTGGTGTTTACATTTTATCAAAACACAACCATGAAACTGATATTTCAAGGTAAAAAAATAAATAAAAATGTTGTTGCTTGCCTTATTAGAAGTCAACATACCATAAAAATGATTTTGAAGCCAAGGACTTTCTCATACTTTGAGAAAACTAACAAATATATTTTGATCATTAGCCCTTATCCAAATATTTTGCACAAATAATGTATGGACAGTGTCTAAGCCCATGTGAGGAATAAAATGAATAGAAAATAGGACAATAGACAAGATACTTACAGACATATATATTTTTTTTTGACCCGTCATTCCTATTAGGAGCAATTTCAGAAACTCAGTTTTAAATAGCAAAATATTTTATATAAATGTATTGTAACAAGGAATCCCATCACTGAAGAAAATATGTAATAAACATAAAACAAGCACATCATACATGTTCATGATGATAATATACAAAACATTGTGCACTTTACATGGTGAAATCAATAGTATTTGCCTTGGTCACACAGTCCGACTCTTTAAAACTGAGGAATAACACAAAACAGTAGTGCTGAAGTAAGGCAAAGATGTCAGCGCACAACTTCTCTTCAGTTGCTGGCCACTTTAGTGGGCAGTAGCTTTTATGTGCATTGGCACTTGGTATTTCTTGCTGCACTCTCATACAGCAATTCCGAAAAGCATCTATTGTTCATGTGATGTATACTTATAAATTATAGCCAATCACTAGTCTCCACAGCAACCGTGTCTTTGTCAAGTAGTTCGTTCTGTTCTGTTGGCTCCTCCTCGTTTGGATCATCTCCTGGTGGCAGCGCGGTTTCTTCTGGTATCTGGACACGCACCTGAACCCAAACATTTACATTGCATTCAGAGAACACAAAAGGTTTATTAGTCTTAATGAGGAGCTGGCATGCAACATTAACCTTAAAACATAATCTGGAACCCAAAATGTTTTCAACTCAAATTCAGATTTGTATCTTGAATGCACTTAATTAAAATCATTACATGTAGTTTTATTTACCCTGATATTTCTCCTCCATGGGCAGTGTAACCGGAGGAAAGACGTGCAAGCCAAGAAACAGCGGCAGGAGAACACAACCTCCACCACTGACATCAGAATCAATGGAAACCATAGGATTAATGTAGTACCCTGGAGGGAGAAATATATATTTTTGTTTTTTCATTTGAGTATTTCATTTAACTTGCTTATTTTGCATCATGTCCCACAGGGTTCCCATTGCTTTTCACCAATGAATTTACATGACATTTGCATGACACTTCCATGCATTTGAGATTACTGGATTTTTAAATATCATTGTAAATAAGCTAGCCATTTTAGCCAATTAAATATTTTAAAGCTAAGAATAAATAAATAAGAAAATAAATCTTTCACAATTTTAAAATTCCATGATGCAAATTTTCTATTACTGTGGGAACCCTGGGGCCTCACACAAAGACTGAATGATCCAAAATTTGAGTATACGGCAATTTCTGAAATGTTCCCAAGAACAACTTAAATTCTCAACTCATTAAAAAAAAACAAATGCATCCTTCCTTATAAAATCGCAGTTCATCCTAAATTCATCCGAAGTTCATACACATGCTCTCAAGACATAACACATTTGTTTTTGCCTTTATAAATTCTGATTTGTTCCTCACTTTTGACATAGGATGAAATGAACCATGATTTTATTTGCTACAGTTTTGGTAACTCAAATGCATCTCAATGGCAAAAGAAGGAGAATGAGGTTCATATCATTAATTTGCATTGGATTACACTAGGATCCATCAGACTGGAGATTTACTGACTCACATAGATGCGTGTGGGGTCAAAGGGGCATTCATTTGTGATGCTGTAGTAGGTCATGTTGGCAGGCAGGTTGCAGTGGGCAAACAGAGTGTGTCCTTCCCACATTATGGCCCTCACTGTGGCAACAGTGATTCCCACTGCAGAGGCAGCACCCAAGAGAACAGCCAAGACACTCACAACCAGAAGAAACCAACTCTGCAACAAGGATAAAATGCATTCAGAAATTAATAATACATGAATACTCTATTTTGTTCTATAGAATTTAAAGTGCAAGTTTTGCAGTGGCACCAAATAAATAGCAAAAACAGAGCAAATGCAAACATTACAAAAAGGATAGTATTGTGTGTACTCACCAGGAGCTGGTTTTTCTTGTTCTTTGAGAGAACAATAGCTGAGATTCCACCAATAATTGCCTGCAGGTTATAACATGGTCAGATGTATAAATTAGTGTGGACTCATTCAGTGTAAAAGGTGAGTTTGAAGTTTAAACTAACACACCTGCTTATTAATGCAGGGATTTTAACCACTACACTTTATGCCTCAACCACCACGTCACTTGATCATAAATCACAAACATATTAAAGAAATACATTCGAATTTTGGAGACAGACAAACCATAAGTCCTGCCACAAGAGCGATGACATTGGAGATGGGGTAGACAAGTTTCTTGTTCCAAGTGAACACCTTTATGTGTCTGAGCACAGCTCCGTGTACCAGTGCCCCCAACAAGAAGTTCACATGACCCACAAGCACCAGTCCCAAACCCATCTTCATCAGGATCTTACTATCCTTCAGACTGCCACAACAAAGACCTACAGGAAACACACACAATATCAACCATAAACAGAGAATTGAAGACACCAGATCATCAGATAAACAAGATGCAATGAGTCAAGGAACTATGTGCACCATGAAATCTGGATGAACTTGGGACTACATGCAATAAGTTTTCATGAGCCATGACTTCACTGAAAGCAAGCTATTATGATGTGATGAGGGACTGTCAGATAAAGAGACAAACCTGATAATAACAGTACACAAGTACAAAAACACTGCTTTTTTCTCTTAGATGTAGCATTTTCTTACACTTAGGTGAACCAAATCACCTACCCTGCCTTTAATTAAAGGGGTTATATGACGTTGCTAAAAAGAACATTAAGTTGTGTATTTGGTGTAATGCAATGTGTTTATGCGGTTTAAGGTTAAAAAAAACACATTATTTTCTACATAATGTACATTATTGTTGCTCCTCTATGCCCCACCTTTCTGAAATGCGCCTATTTTTACAAAGCTCATCGGTCTGAAAAGCGAGGTGTACGCTGATTGGCCAGCTATCCAGTGCGTTGTGATTGGCTGAATACCTCAAGCGTGTGACGGAAATGTTACGCCCCTTACCATACTGTGATGCCCTGTATCCCGGCGCAACAAGACAAAAACAATAAAACCCATTACAAACGAGGCATCTGCATTTCATCCTCCGCAAAATGCACTGCACACATCTGAATATTTGGGTTGAACTGTTCTGGAACAGTGTTAGAATGAGCAGTTTTAGGTAGGCGTGGTTGACTCTTAACTTTTATAAAGAATATCTCTTTGGATTTGCGATTTTAGTCTTTGCAACTTTACAGATCTTCTTTATGCACCAAGAGCTTGTTACACTCCAAAGAGAAAGGAAAAATTGAAAATCGCATCATATGACCCCTTTAAATATTTATTATAGAGCTTTTGTGGTATATCCACATTGTGTATATTCTATTAGGCCATTACATTGAGGGAGAATAGTACGATTAAACACCTGCATTGCACAATTAAAGCAAGTTTACTTGTCATTTTCTAACCTTCATGTTGAGGCAAACCTGCATGACCTTTTTCTTCAATGGTAGTCAATAAAGTTGGGTCATTATTTCAAATAAAATGACATTTAAATGGTGATGGAAGATGTCAATCATCATCAATTGGGATGAAAAATCATCATTAATGATACCGCCTTACAATTAGAAGAGCCAATCACATTGTTGATACAGGATTAGAAGTCCCACCTTAACCAATAGCTTGTTTGTTTACTCTCATTGAACACGCAGGCATTGGGCAAGCATGAAAAGATCAGATACGATTATCAGATTTTATTGCTGATAACGTGTTATTGAGCAGTGGTTTCAAGTAAATTATTTATACTTGCATCACTGGAATTTGCAAGATCGCCACCGAGTGGGGTTTGGATTGGTTTGGAATTCAGATAGATTGTGTGATTTGGACAAACCCCTGCTGAAAAAAAAACAGCTTAAACCAGCCTAAGCTGGTTAGATGGTTTTAGCTGGTTGTCCAGCCTGGTCATAGCTGGTCAGCACGTTGGTTTTAGAGAGGTTTTGACAACTTCTTTAGCTGGTCAGTATAACTGTCCATTTCTCAAATAAAGCCATGTATGGCTTCAGAAGACCTGACATGTGTGGACATGTATGGACTACTTTTATGGTGCCCTTGCATTCAGTTAAATGCTCGACATTTTCAGTCAAAAGAACAAAAGTCACACTAGTAAAGACATGAGGATGAGTAAATGAAAAAAGAGTGGCGGGTCAATCTTCAGCTGGCTGGCAGGACCTGCCACCTTCCACTGGCCTGCCACTCCAGCCAGTTAGGCAACTACTGTTGGAAGACAGATCTACCTATTTGGAAGTCATTTGGTTTTTATTTATGTTATTTGTAAATTGATTTTTACTTTGAATAAATTAATATATTTATTTGTGTTCATGTCTTCCTCTGACAGCTTTCTCTAGCCAGCCTTTATTAAGCTATGAGTATGCCTAGGCTATGCATTCCCTATCACTCCTGTTGCAAGGAAATTAATAATTTTATTATTGTGAATGTTCTTTTGAATCTATTCTTTAATATGATATAAGTTTCAAGGTGGTTTATTCATATTTAAGTAGTCTAATGGCCGTGATCATAAACAACCAACTGGTTGGTTATTGTCGCTTGCACTGGCCACTCAAGCAGCCAACCGATTCTCTACTACTGTCTCTGCAAGGAAATATACTATGTTATGATTATTAATATATTCTTATGTCTATTCTTGTAAACATGTACTTGTATCGCAATTAAAGTGCTCAAATGGCCGTCATCCCGACTGGTGGGTTAGCCAACTGCCGCTTCAGTGCAGCCAGTGCACTCCATAAAACGTCTATCACTTAAAAGAATAAAGTCATATGAACAGATGTACAACAAAAAAATATATAATAATAATAATAGTATTCCCGGAGCTAGAGTGGAAGGAGAGCAAAACATAAATCTGCCATAAATCAATGGTCCTCCTGACAGTGAACTGCCAGCCGCCAGGCAGCCAACCACTGGCAGGTCACGTGACCTGGTGCAGCCAGCCAGTTAGGGATTGAACCCCTAATGCAGGGTTCCTCAAATCTTGCCCTGGAGGTCCAATGCGCTGCAGTTTAGCTCCAACCCTGATCAAACTCAGCTACCTGTGATTTTTCTAATGATCCTGAAGACATTGATTAGCATGCTCAGGTGTGTTTGATTAGGGTTAGAGCTAAACTTGGTGTAACAGAATATGTTGACATGCTTTAATGTTCAAAAAACACATTATTTGTCAAATACTGTACATTAATGTATGCCCCGCCTCTCTCAAACACAATAACATTTATTTAAAAAAAAAAAAGCAAAATAAGGTTTAGGATTTCACATTTATGAATGACAAAATTGGTAATTACTTCTGGAAATGCTGTCTAATTAATTTTTTTTAAATAAACTAGATTTTATGAATTTGTTTTGTTGTGGCTGCATAAAAACAAAAAGCCCAATCACCTGAATTAGTGTCAGCCAGTCTGTTAATCACAGTCAGTTGATGACGTGAACCTGAACACCTAGAGTTAATCACCTGACTCTCATTAAATGCATTAATCTGTGCAGCTTAAACCTCCTCACAGCCTGAGTTTTTAGGAAGGTCTGCAAGACAAGGAGAGTCGTTGAATACATGCTTTTTTTCATTGGTTCTCTCTCAGGTCAAAGCTGTAGGATAGGGATGGCGGCGGCTTTTGTCGTTTTCTGTTGCACTATAGTGTCTCGAGCGCTGCCTGTTACATCTAACGGGGATTATTTTAATGGGCACTTCGCAGCGTACTCGCCAGAAATCATTCATGATGTCTGGCGTGTTCCTGCCCTCGCAAAACATTTTCTGAATGAAATTCCTCAGCCTCACAATTTTGATGGATTTGTACCTGTGTTCCCAATGCAATATGATATTCAGGCCCTACTGGAAAGTTTTTCCTTAAGGATCCTGAATTGTACGTCATTAACATACTACTAAATCTATTAGACAAAGTTAGAGTCTAATATTTGCTTTTAATGTTTATTTTACTCTAGCATCTTGGAGCGGTCCAGCAGATACTAGTGTGTTCCACAAAGGAGAGCAGTTGTATCTGCAGGTGTCTGCCTCACCTGCACCTGGTCAACAGCTTTATGTCCAGTCCTGCCATGCTTCCTCTTCTCCAAACCTTGCAGACAAACCTGAAGTCGCCCTTATCATTAACAAAGGGTAGCTGAATTCAACAAACATTATTTTGAATACACTTGCTCCCTGGAATAATTTCACCATTTTTATGTTTGCCAGATGTGTGGCCTCCAAAGAGTCCTTGGTGAAGTTTGTGTTGCAACAGCGTGACCGAGTAAATTTGGTTGTTCGTACATCCACCTTCAAATCTTCTGAGGTGAGTGTTCATTGACTGTTATGATGACTGTGGTCTTACAAACTGACAGAAGTTTGATCTGTAATGCTCTCCTGTTTTCTTTAGAGTTACATCCACTGCAGAGTCTATCTTACTGATTTGGGTCTGACCTCTACCACTAAATTTTGCAACTACAACAAGCTTAAGTCCAGGTAAGTGTTTAAATCTCTTACTCAAGTCTTTGTCCTAATAGGCTTTTGGAACTTTAAAAAAAAAAAATCCTGTTTTTCAGATGGGTTGACCTGGGTGGCCAAACCTCCGTATGTGATTGTTGTGGGAGAAGGTGCAGAAGCTTAACTGAGCATGCAGAACTGCCTGGTTAGTGATGGGTACTTTTTTTTTTTTTCTCTTTTTTTTGTTTAAAATGTCAGGGTAAAAACATTTTATTGTCTTTATTTTATTCCTTCCAAACCAAAGATTTCTGTGACATTGTTGCAAATGCTGCAGATTTGTCACTAAGAAAAGCTGCTGGCTAGTTATTGTCTTGAAAGTATTGGTACAAGTGTCTTAACTATGTTCCAAACAGCAAAGTTTTGGATGTATTCGTTTCAGTAAAGGGGGTTGTGAATTTGAGTTGCATTGGCTGCTTAATTTCCAGCTTGTTGGCTTGCATATGTTGAGGGTGTATATACACAAAGTTATTGACAAATTAATATAAGTGCGTGTCTTGGTGAACAGTTTCTCGCATGCTAGTTATGGCTTGGTTTTCTTTTCTCTCCCCCCCCCCCCCCCCTTTTTTTTTTTTTTTATTTTTATTTTTTTTTTAAGTTAACGTATGTAATTCGTTGTTAATGTTATGCATCTTTTAGATTTAAAAAGCGAATTAGTAAGTATTACATGTGATTTTAAGTAATGCTGCAGAAGTACTCTTCACTGTTAGTTGTAACCCTTTACAAGGTTTTGTTAACTAAATTCCTAGCAAAGACATGTTGCGTAAAATAAAGATTGCTCCTTTTGTAGTGAAGCCAGTAAAAATAGAAATCCTGAGCCAACAATACACCTTTTTTTTTTGAGGGGGGGGGGGTAAACCGCCACACTTTCATTCTACACAAGTAATGTTACTGTAGAAGTAAAGGCATAACCAACTAAAACAATAGAACCTGAAGAACACGAGTACCTGACAAGTTAACAACGACAACCAGAACAATGCACATTATACATTCCACAGCCACTGTATATTTGTGAAAGTGAAGTACTGAAAGTATGATTTTTATCCTTCCTGGAATAACAGAAAAATCTGTGTTAGAACTTATTCTCCATTCTGTTACAGTTTCTCTAGACCTGACTGCAGTAGTAAGCACTGGCCCACTGATTATCGAAGATCAACAATCTGCCAGACCACTGGCACTGTCAGACTACAGCACTAAGTCCAGCCCTACAGCCAGAGATGACTCTGATAAAAGATGGATCGTGGCAGGTGACTCTTTCTCTGAGAGCTCAATGCAAAACGTTGGCAATGTCTCCCCCTGGCCTGTCCAACATGGCTTTGGAGGAGGTGTGGTGGTCATCAGCCAAGGTCTGGGAGGTGATTTAGCAATGTGGCTACCAGACATCTTGGAGCTTGCGTTAAACCCAGTGGTGCAGATGGGGATTGGTTATCCAGAAGATCCTGTTGATATAACCTTTCAAAATGGTGAACCCTTTAGAAAGCTGAAACCAGATGAAAGCTCTGAGAAGAGTCCGGTAGCTATGGATGAAGGACAAGCTTATGTAGAAGCTGTGAATTCACATGATGTAAAGGATGGGTTGGCCATGTGGCAACTTGATGTTGACCACTTGTATAAGATTCAGGAAAAACCCGTTGTGACTGCCGCAGATCACCTAGAACCGCCTCAACTGAATCTTGAATCTGAATTTGACTTTCCTCCAAATGACCAGCCATTGATCAGCCCTACTCCAGATAAGCTGTCTGAGAGTGCTGAGGATGGAGAAGTTGTTTTCAGACAGGCCGAGATGGTCTTTAAAAGCGCTAAAGGAGCCAAGTTATCAGAGCCAGTTCTCTACTCTAAACTGAGTCTGAATCAAGCTGTAAATGGATCCAGTTTTCTCAATTATGAGGAACAGAAGAGGCCCATCATGAACAAACAGGACCATAAGGGACTGGAGAGGAATGGCGAGAAAAGTCAAAAGGATGAGCTGATGGAGAGTACCTCTAAAATTAAAGGCCTGGTTTCATCCCTATTGGATCAACTGAGGTTAGTTGACTACTGGATATGAATTTTATTAAAGGTCTATGTTAATCTGTACCCCTTTTTTATTTTTCCTTTCATTTGACTGTAGGAGACTGTGGACTGTGCAGTGACCCGTTTTTCATCATGCCTTGGTGTGATTTATAATGTATTTGGACTTTCGACCTAAATAAAGTTGTTTTTCCTGATTAAATGTCTCAATTATATGAAGGTAGAACGACGTCAAAGATTTGCATACGCAGGGTAAGAGTTGTGTACATAAGACTGTAAGTGTAACTTAAATTAGCATGAGTAAGAAGCTTTGTAAAGGTGTACATTGCGTTTTAAGAATAAATTACTGGATACGAATTTTATTAAAGGTCTATGTTAATCTGTACCCCTTTTTTATTTTTCCTTTCATTTGACTGTAGGAGACTGTGGACTGTGCAGTGACCCGTTTTTCATCATGCCTTGGTGTGATTTATAATGTATTTGGACTTTCGACCTAAATAAAGTTGTTTTTCCTGATTAAATGTCTCAATTATATGAAGGTAGAACGACGTCAAAAATTTGCATACGCAGGGTAAGAGTTGTGGAAGTGTACATAAGACTGTAAGTGTAACTTAAATTAGCATGCGTAAGAAGCTTTGTAAAGGTGTACATTGCGTTTTAAGAATAAATTATTTGCAGCATTTTACGGTTACTCGCAAGTGTAATTCATGTATTATGTATGGAAGCCAGTTTCCGCCACTGAATAAAAAAATATATAATTCTGTAATGAGAAACTTTCTCAATTATGAATTATCTCGTTGTGAGAAACTTTCTCGTAATAATGACTTGGTTTCTCGTAATGAGACACGCAAGAGTGACAGCACGCTAGCGCCATCTGTTGGTCAAAGCCATGCAGGAACACCGCTGACACTGCATGTGATGCGTGAAAGGGACAGCTAATAAATCATCGAAATGCACATCTATAAATTAAGTTTGTGTAATGGCTTTCATTTCTTCATAAAATGCCTGGATTTCTTAACTGAAACATTGGTCTGGAATGTTTGAAGTCATAACTATCTGGCAGAGTAACTATTACACAAGACTACATGCAGATAATTTATCTGAAATCGTTATTTAATGACAGACTATAGCATTATACACTTTAGATTACAGAACAAAGCAATGTTAGCGGTGTTCCTGCATGGCTTTGACCAACAGATGGCGCTAGCGTGCTGTCACTCTTGCATTCCGCAGGCGTCAAGTTTTTTTGGGGGGGTGGGGGGGGGGGGTTGGGCTAAATCATTACGAGAAAGTTTCTCATTACGAGATACTAAGTCATTATGAGAATATGTCATTATTTCGAGAAAGTTTCTCATAAGATACTAAGTCATAATTTTGAGAAAGTTTATCATGACTTACAGAATTATATATTTTTTTATTCAGTGGTGGAAATGCTAACGCAAAATATGATCCGCATGCTTCTAACTTTTTTTTTTTTGTGCGCTTGCACTTTTGGCACTTTTTAATTTTTTGCCAAAAGACGGTCAAAAGCACTGCAAGCCTGTGAACAATGATTTGCAAGCAAAAACAGTTTAAAGAACTGCGAAACGGATTGACTGCGTAGAACCAATCTGTATGTGTAAAACTGTTGCAAATGTCTAAATGGCTTGAGTATGTGGGGCAAAAGGTTCCCGAAATAAACCGATATGTACAGCACCGTCTTTTCTCTGCGTTTACAATTTTAGCACTATTCTCTGAGACTATTCTCTGTCTCCACCTTTTTGTAGCCAATCAAATGAGCCTCTCACTGACTCGCCCATTTACTCGTATCTGATTGGTTCAATAAACGCATCATACGCCAAGACATTAATCTTCATTAGTGATGGGAAGTTCGGATCATTTTACCGACTCGGACCTTTGAGTCTCCTTCAGCAAAATGAACGAATCTTTTTTTTTTTTTCGCGTCATTTCGTTCATTTTTGCAAAATATAATTAAAATGTTACATGTTACTTCCCTAATACGTCTACTAACGCTAACATTGATCACACTACAAACAATACAAAACTACTATAAGAAACCGAAAAGATTAATTGTTCACCTGGGTCCTCAGTCTATAACTAGCTCACCTCACCTCTTATCTGACAAGTCTTGGGGTTTGGGTTTATGGGGCTGTCACGTGATGAACGAACGACTCAAACCCGATGACTCGAGAGATGAACTAATCAATTCTCTTTCCGGCTCAGACTGCATTGGTTAAAGCTTATGGGGCTGTCACGTGATGAACGAACGACTAGGAAAAACCCAAAGACTCAACCAGGTGAACTATTTGACTAATTCCAGTATAGAACCTATCCACCTTTTTCTTCAACGCGGAAGTAAGCCTATGGGTGAGACTTCCGGTTCATTAGCCGCTATAGGTAAATAACGAGGAGAATAACAACGTGCAGTAAACGGTAAAACTGTTTGCACTACAAACCAGTGTGTTCATAATTAAGATAATACATTAAAATAATATAAGACACACCAATTTTCAATATCAAGCAGCAAAAGAAACTGTTTTGCTCAGCTAAAAATAGCTGGACGGAGTGGACGCAGATGAGACCGGAAGCCAGACCCATATAATTTACAAATGGCCACGCCCATTTTTACGACAAGAAAAAGGTGGATAGGATGTTGCGCATGCGCGACTGAACGAATCACTCCCCGAGACGACTCGTTCTTCCCGAGTCACATTAAAGATTCGTTCAAGAACGACCCAACACTAATCTTCATTTAGTTTTTCAGAATCAGGATCGTTCTTGCTGCCGGAATGGTACTTCTAACGTACACGTACAGTAAAATAAAAAAATTTAATAACTTAAAACATGCGCCTTTCATAAGCTGTGTGCCTTTAGGCTAGACTCCCATGTGTTCATACTGATTTGCGAGCTGGTGTTCCGATTATTTGGTTTGGCTTTACATTGAAATTTCATTATCTACTTACACCACTAAGCTAATGTTAAACTTTATAATCAAAATGTTATGTGACAATGCTCAACACTATGGTATCAGAGTGCTATACTTTGTAAAACCTTTTTACTATGCCAATAAGGCTACTTAAATATGAATTTGTCAATTTTTCAGACGATGTTTCCGTTTATGGTATTTAACACTGATTACTTTCATGTGACTGATCAAGCTATTATATGAAGCAAGAATGAGTAACAAAATGCTTTCTTTGTGTCCAGATTTGACTAATGCAAAAACTTTGATAAATATGTCTTTAATGTCTAAATATATATCCAAATACAAGTAACTAATTATGTGGGAATCCAAAGTTCCCAGCCGCTATAGGGAACAGTCATGTTTATGTTTCTATATAGAGAGCTAAACAGCCATCTAGTGGTTACACGATAGTATTACAGATGATAAATGGTGAATAAGTTAGAGATAAATATTTTTAGTAATATTTTGTAAAATCCCCTTAAATTATCAATTATTATTGAACCAAATTTGTGTTTAAAAAATTTATCAGTGGACAGGTGAAAGTATGCATGTATTAGGCAGATACTAGACCTTTAAGTATCATCAAAATTACAATATAATATTACAATAAACTAATATATCATATAGCCTGTTGAGGAAGAGAAGGAAACTACACAGCTCGAAATTCAGTATGAACACAGCCTAATGGTACACAACTTCTAAAATATGTTTTAATTTTTGAGAATGACCCATGTTGCTGTAGTAGACCTTGCGCACCCAGATGTCGCTGTTGGATGTTGCTTTCCAAATGTGCTGCCCTGTACACCGCATGCTCGGAGCGGGTGTTTTTTTTTCTTTTCTGTTATCCCAAGTGTGACCCTGGCTTCTATTTCCTCCGCTCGAGCTATAAAGTGCCCGTGCATTTCCCACGCACCCTCTTTCCCCGGCCACCCCACCGTGAGTGTATCTCACTGTTCTTCAGTACCTTTAAAAAAAAAGAAAAAAAAAAGAGACAAAATAACAAAAATCTCAAAAAATAATCACTTTAAAACAAACAACGTTTTTTAAAACGGCAAACTTTGTTTTTTTTAAAAGACAAGGTCTCGATCCACCCAGACGTTTCTGAAGCCAGTTCCTCGCGACCGGACTCCATAGAGCTGCCATTGCAGCCGACATCGTTTATTTGGAGAGTAGCGTAAAAGTTTAATAGAGGATTAAGACTCATTTGTTCCTCTGGTTCTAGGACACTCTTTACGCACTGTCATTTCAGCACTAGACAAACACACGAGCTCAAAGACTTGAACGACCCCGAGACATGAACGCAGCGACGGCGGGGAGTTATCCGATGGCTTCTCTCTATGTGGGCGACCTGCACCCTGATATCACGGAGGCTATGCTGTATGAGAAATTCAGTCCGGCCGGCCCGGTGCTGTCCATCCGCGTGTGTCGGGATATGATCACGCGGCGCTCGCTGGGCTATGCCTACGTCAACTTCCAGCAGCCTGCGGACGGTAAGACATGACAGACAGCGCCCTGTCGTCCTGCGCGTAACTTTAAACGTGATGCATTTAGCTGTCAGAGTAACGGGAATAATGTGTCATGCTTTGTGCGTTAATTTAGGGACACTGAAGGTGATGTGTAGTGCGCCCACCGTCGCGCTCTCTCTCTCTCTCCTGTGTGCTGTCACATGTATTTCTGAGTTAACCACATCAAGCTGGTCTTCACTCCTCTCTACTACAACCATCTTTAACATCTTCAACAAACCGCTTTATTCTCCTAATATGGCCTATTGTGAGAAAGTCAGGGTTTACTGACTGTGACCGTCACACCGCTTTATGTCCATGCAGCCAATATGGCAAGCTGCTTTAACACAAAACAAACTAATATTTAAGCTACTGGCTATTTATTTTTAATTACTATAAGTTAACTTTATGTTCTGTTTTAGTTCGGATTTTTAAATTGTTTTCATCTGTTTAATCTGTCTCGTATTCAGATACTACTACTTATTCATACTTGTTACTATTTCATTAGTGACAAGAACTTATTCTAGTTTTTAGTAAAAAAAAATTGCCATTGAAATCTATGAGTATCCATAAGATACTAGTACGTTTTTAGTTACTAGTAACTATACCAGTAATTAGAAGTATTTATTCCAGTTTTGTGTTACTAGTATTTTACTTTTTAGTGCTTTTTAAAAGTACTAGCAACTGTCTCAGTTATGTTATGTTTTCTTACTACTAGTGGTACTAGTATTTTATGTTACTAGTATTACTAACATGTTACTTTTTAGTATTATTTTAAAAAGTAAAAATAATAATTGCTAGCAATTATTTATGTTTTTTAGTATTTCTTTACTAGTAACTATCCCAATAGTTATGAATGTCTACTAGGGTTGTCTACCAAATTTGCATCAGACGATGTCTACAGTGAAACATCGTGATGGACAATGACATGAGGGGGGGGGGGCATCTGCTAATGATATGCAGATACTGAGTACCACTGACAAATAGCTAATCTTGTAAAATGTGTGGTAGTGCAGTAGCCTACCTACCAGTACTGCCGCTCCGTAGTATAGAGTCCGTGTGATCGCGAATCTCGAAAGTGAAAGTGAAGGTAAAATGAGAGCTTGCAATCAAAAGCGGTTTCAATGCCCTGCATATTAGTAGTGGCTCCCTGATGCCCGCAGTTTATATACAGTATAATTACCCAACAATATAACTGTGAGAGAAAGTATTGAAATATTTTTTTATCCTCCCATCTCGAAGGCTATTTATTCCCTCTAGGGGTTCTGTAGTACACTTAATATCCTTTCTGAACACAGAATTGGGATGCGGTGGATTGCGGGGGGGTATGGGGGGTGGATCATGATGCCGGCTCAACATTGTGATGTCTGTCAGCCATCGGCGATGGACGATGGCATCGTCTATCGGCCCAACCCTAATGTCTACATTCCTGTAGCTCAAGCATGGCGCAAGTAATAGCAAGGTCATAGGTTTGATTCCCAGGTTTGATACCTTGAATGCAATGTAAGACGCTTTGGATAAAAAAGTATTCTAAAATATTCTATCCTGTGTTATTAATCATTAACCTACTATTAACATCAAATTGATACTGGTTAATTTCAGTATCCCATTATCAGGCTTGGTTTGCTCACCCAGGGATTTGTAAGGCACTAAATAAGGCACTAAATGTGTTGTGAAAAACACCATACAAATAAAATGAATTGCATTTCAAAGTTACAAATATTAAATTATATTAAATCAGATTGCTGTACAACTACTGTATCATGCTGTATCATTTCACTTGTCCTGAAATAATATCTTCACTTAGTGATACAAAGGTTGAGTATGCAGCATGGCATGTATGTATGAATCACTGATGCCATGCACCCTGTGGAGGACTGATATTTTGTTCTGTTGAGCTTGCCTAGCCTTGTCCATTCTTGAAACACATCCAGAGTTTTCATGAAAAACTTTCATGCATTCTGTTCATATTCTGTCTGAAAAAAAATGGAAAAGCTTTGGAAAATTTTATTTTAAAAAGCTCAACACTCAATAGAGCCAAGCAGTCTCAATTATAACCTATAATCAGAATAAAGAACTAGACTAGAATTGAATGTTCTGCTTGACCCACATATAGTGAGAGTGTCGTACATCTATAAACCTTATATGAGACATTCTAGATAGAAGCAAACCTGATCATTAGGATACTTCCATGTTTTAG